AGCCTCCCTCTCCCCATCTACTAACTCCCCTACACTGTTTTTAACTGACAAATCCATACTTTCCCTAGGCTTTCTTACCTTGTGTAACTCACGACAAATTTTTTCTTATTTTCATTAAAATTTCTTGACAGTGCCTCTCCCACTTATCATCTGCTCTCCTTTTGCACTCTCTCACCACTCTCTTCACCTTTCTTTTACTCTCCATATACTCTACTCTTCTTATAACACTTCTGCTTTGTAAAAACCTCTCATAAGCTAACTTTTTCTCTTTTATCACACCCTTTACTTCATCATTCCACCAATCACTCCTCTTTCCTCCTGCACCCACCCTCCTATAACCACAAACTTCTGCCCCACATTCTAATACTGTACTGCATTTTTAAAACTAATTCCAACCCTCTTCAACATCCCCACTGCTCATACTTGCACCAGTCCACCTTTCTGCCAATAGTTGCTTATATCTCACCCGAACTTCCTCCTCCCTTAGTTTATACACTCTCACTTCCCTCTTACTTGTTGTTCCCATTTTCCTCTTTTCCCATCTACCTCTTACTCTAACTGTAGCTACAACTAAATAATGATCCGATATGTCAGTTGCCACTCTATAAACGTGTACATCCTGGAGCCTACCCATCAACCTTTTATCCACCAATACATAATCTAACAAACTACTTTCATTATGTGCTATATCATACCTTGTATATTTATTTATCCTCTTCTTCATAAAATATGTATTATTTATTACTAAACCTCTTTCTACACATAGCTCAATTAAAGGCTCCCCATTTTCATTTACCCCTGGCACCACAAATTTACCTACTATTCCCTCCACAAGATTTTTGCCCACTTTAGCATTGAAATCCCCAACCACCATTATTCTCACACTTGGTTCAAAACTTCCCAAGCATTCACTCAACATTTCCCAAAATCTCTCTCTCTCTTCTACACTTCTCTCTTCTCCAGATGCATATATGCTTACTATAACCCACTTTTCATATCCAACCTTTATTTTACTCCACATAATCCTTGAATTAATACATTTATAGTCCCTCTTTTCCTGTCATAACTTATCCTTCAACATTATTGCTACTCCTTCTTTAGCTTTAACTCTATTTGAAGCCCCTGACCTAATCCCATTTATTCCTCTCCACTGAAACTCTCCTACCCCCTTCATCTTTATTTCACTTAAAGTCAGGACATCCAGCTTCTTCTCATTCATAACATCCACAATCATCTCTTTCTTATCATTTGCACAACATCCATGCACATTCAGACTTCCCACTTTGACAATTTTCTTCTTCTTAGTCTTTTTAGTAATTATTACATGAAAAGGGGTTATTAGCCCATTGTTCCCGGCATTTTAGTTGACTTTTACAAAACGCATGGCTTACGGAGGAAAGATTCTTATTCCACTTCCCCATGGATATAAAAGGAAAAGTAATAAGACCAAGAACTATTAAGATAAAATCAAAGAAAACTCAGACGAGTGTGTATAAATAAACATGTACATGTATGTGTAGTGTGACCTAAGTGTAAGTAGAAGTAGGAAGACGTACCTGAAATCTTGCATGTTTATGAGACAGAAAAAAGACACCAGCAATCCTTTTTTTTTTTTTTTCAACAAGTCGGCAGTCTCCCACCGAGGCAGGGTGAGCTAAAAAAAGAAAGAAAATCCCCAAAAAGAAAATACTTTCATCATCATTCAACACTTTCACCACACTCACACATTATCACTGTTTTTGCAGAGGTGCTCAGAATACAACAGTTTAGAAGCATATACATATGAAGATACACAACATATCCCTCCAAACTGCCAATATCCCAAACCCCTCCTTTAAAGTGCAAGCATTGTACTTCCCATTTCCAGGACTCAAGTCTGACTATATGAAAATAACCGGTTTCCCTGAATCCCTTCACTAAATATTACCCTGCTCACACTCCAACAGATCGTCAGGTCCCAAGTACCATTCGTCTCCATTCACTCTAATCTAACACGCTCACGCACGCTTGCTGGAAGTCCAAGCCCCTTGCCCACAAAACCTCCATCATATAAAACAATTACAAGTTTCTGTTTTACACTCACTTGGCAGGACGGTAGCACCTCCCTGGGCGGTTGTTGTCTACCAACCTACTACCAACCATTTTAACACTATACGTATATCCCCAGCTTTTAACATTTCTATCATGATCCCATCAGTTCCAGCTGCTATACCCCTTTTCATTCTATATAATGCCTCATGCACCTCCCCCACACTCACATTCTGTTCTTCTTCACTCCTAAAATATGTTATACCTCCCTGGTCAGTATATGAAATTGCTGCTTTCCTCTCTTCATCGACATTTAAAAGTTCCTCTAAGTATTCCCACCATCTACCCAATACCTCCAGCTCCCCATCTACTAACTCCACTACTCTGTTTTTAACTGACAAGTTCATTTGTTCCCTAGGTTTTCTTAACCTGTTCATCTCACTTCAAAATGCTTTCTTATTCTCAGCAAAATTTCTTAACAGTGCCTCTCCCACTCTATCATTTGCTCTAATTTTGCACTCTCTCACCACTCTCTTCACCTTTCTTTTACTTTCCATATACTATGCCCTTCTTATATCACTTCTGCTTTGTAGAAACCTCTCATAAGCTACCTTTTTCTCTTTTATCACACCCTTTACCTCATCATCTCACCAAACACTCCTCTTTCCTCCTGCACCCACCCTCCTATAGCCACAAACTTCTGCCTCACATTCTAGCATTGCATTTTTAAAACTATCCCATCCCTCTTCAACCCCCCCCCTCCCCCACTACCCATACTTGCACCAGCCCACCTTTCTGTCAATAGATGCTTATATCTCACCCCAACTTCCTCCTCCCTTAATTTATAAACTTTCACCTCTCTCTTACTTGCTATTGCCATTTTCCTTTTGTCCCATCTAGCTCTTACTATAACTGTAGCTACAACTAAATAATGATCTGATATATCTGTTGCCCCTCTATAAACATGCACATCCTGAAGCCTACCCATCAACCTTTTATTCACCAATACATAATGTAACAAACTACTTTCATTATGTGCTATATCATATATTTTTATACTTATTTATCCTCTTTTTCATAAAAGATGTATTACTTATTACCAACCTCTTTCTACAAATTTACCCCTGGCACCCCAAATTTACCTATCACTCTCTCTACATTTTACCCACGTTAGCATTGAGATCCCCAACCACAGGTACTCTCTCACTTGGTTCAAAACTCCCCCACACACTCACTGAACATTTCTCAAAATCTCTCAATCTCCTCTACACTTCTCTCTTCTCCAGGTGCACAAACACTTACTACAACCCACGTTTCACATCCAACCCTTATTTTACTCTACATAATCCTTGAATTTATACATTTATTTTCCCTCTTTTCCTGCCATAACTTATCCTTCAACATTATTGCTACCCGTTTCTTAGCTCCAACTCAATTAGAAACCCCTGACCTAATCACATTTATTTCTTCCCACTGAAACTCTCCTACCCCATTCAGCTTTGTTCCCTTTAGGGCCAGGACATCCAGCTTCTTTTCACTCATAACATCCACAGTCATCTCTTTCTTATCATTCTCACAACATACATGCACATCCAAACATCCCACTTTGACAATTTTCTTCTTTTTCTTTTTAGTAAGCTATATGGGAAAAGGGGTTACTAGCCCACTGCTCCCGGCATTTTAGTTGACTTTTGCAACACGTATGGCTTACGGAGGAAAGATTCTTATTTCACTTCTTCATGGATATGAAAGGAAAAGTAATAAGAACAAGAACTATTAAGATAAAATCAAAGAAAACTCAGATGAGTGTGTATACATAAATGTGTACATGTATGTGTAGTGTGACCTAAGTGTAACAAGAAGTAGCAAGACGTACCTGAAATTTTGCATGTTTATGAGACAGAAAAAAGACACCAGCAATCCTACCATCATGTAAAACAAATACACTCACTTGGCAGGACAGTAGTACCTCCCTGGATGGTTGCTGTCTACCAACCTACTACTAATTAAAGGCCTTTTATGTAAAGACAATCTTTTCCGAACTCAATGATACTGAAGAGAATATGCAAACACTCAAACTTTTTAAAAAGGAACTTAATATTTTGAATGCTGTCTATAACATCTATAAATCCTGGAAGGAATTCAATATACCCCAATGAATATGGTAAAAGTTACAATAATGCCATTACACTGAGTCTATGAGTCAAGACCAGCAAGGTTAGCAAGGTTAACATGAAAAACCACTTGCCATTTTTATCCCAGTGAGCAATGTAATATTAGTCATTCACTACATAAATACCACACTGAAGAAATGTCTGAATTTACTGTCTTGTCTAAAGCAAAATTATTAACTGAATTTACAGAAAGCAAAGGCGATCTGTAAATAGATTTATGATATTTTATCATCTCTATCATTTTAGCTTTAACCTAATTAAGTGTCAGAGATTCTATAAAAGTAAATTTTCTAAGCTTCATAACTTCTGATTAATAACCACAAACAACTTCAACTGAGGACTGATGTTACCACAGGGAAGTTACTGCCTAATTAACCCTTAAACTGTCCAAATGTAGATCTACTTTTTTTCAACATTTGAAAGTATGTAAAAAAAGTAGATCATCTTTTTTTTTTTTTAATTTGAAAACGTGTAAAAAAACTTTGATCTACTTTTTTTTTTTTTTTTTATATTTGAAAATCTGTAAAAGAAACGTAGATCTACTTTTGGATCACTACGCATGTGAATGTAGATCTGCCTGGACAGTTTAAGGGTTAAAGATAACAAAATAAATTTTACAAAACATGCTATTAAAATAAATTAAATATCAGAAAAATTTACAATAGCATGCAATATACATCCAAAAAAATCTTCAATGTAATGTGTGAGTTACTAAGAAAGTGCAGTTAGTGGCATTCTGCTCTGGGAGTTTATGTTGGTTAGTAGCAGCCATTTGCAGCAGTACAGGTTTTAGCCTACCTTTGATGATATGGTGAGTTAGCTGCTGCTGCCTTATTCTAGAAAGTTCCATTAACTTATTCATATACCAGTACCTTTCAACTAGGTCAAAACCAGGGAATGTGCTGTCTTCTGTCACAGTAGACGTTACTTCATTTACTATTTTGACAGTTTCTTCAAAATTGTATAGCATTTCTTGGGCATTGAAGGCAAAAGCCATGCTTCTCCCACTTAGTGCTAATGAAAAATAGCCATGCAGGTCATGCAGTTTCCTTTGCAACTGTTCTTAAGATGAAGGAAGCATAAAGAGTGGCAGAAGCAAGCATAAAATTTGTCAGCCCATAACAAGGCTAGCATATGCTGGTTGTCAAACCTTTAGAACCACGATTAGATGTCCAAACTAATGGTGTGCACGTTCACAGCATCTAGAAGATAAAATATACATTTCAACAACATATCTACTGAGAATAAAATTGGATGAAAACTAAAAATCTTAATGAAATTTTTTAAAAGCAGCAAGATATGGCTGAATTATTCCTTTAAAATTTTGCTACCATTATTACATTTATGGAAAGAAGGGAGGAGAGAAAAGAAGATAGGAAGATAAACCCACAGAAGTCATAAAACAAACTTTGGAGAAATACCAGATAAACAATGAACATTCCAGCCTGAACTAAACATACATTCAAGCCTGAACTAAACATACATTCCATCCAGAACTAAACATACATTCCATCCAGAACTAAACACACATTCCAGCCTGAACTAAATATACATTCCAACCTGAACTAAACATACACCCTAACCTGAAATAAATATACATTCCAGTCTGAACTAAACATACTTTCCAGCCTAAATTAAACATACATCCCAGCCTCAACTAAACATACATTCCAGGATGAACTAAACATACATTCCAGCCTGAACTAAACATACATTCCAGCCTGAATTAAATATAAATTGCAGACTGAACTAAGCATACATTCCAGCCTGAACTAAACATACATTCCAGCCTGAACTAAACATACATTCCAGCCTGAACTAAACATACATTCCAGCCTGAACTAAACATACATTCCAGCCTGAATTAAATATACATTCCAGACTGAACTAAACATACATTCCAGACTGAACTAAACATACATTCCAGACTGAACTAAACATACATTCCAGACTGAACTAAACATACATTTCAGCCTGAACTAAACATACAATCCAGACTGAACTAAATATATATTCCAGACTGAACTAAACATCACATATTTCCTCCTTTGGGCCACTTTATCCTGGTGAGCAAAAAAAAAAAAAAAAAAAAAAAAATCATTGTTCATAATACATATTGTAAAGACTAATAAATAACATATGTAATATTTTTAAATACTTTTCACAAGTAAATATAAGCAACAGAAAAACTGAGAACACAATCCCCATGAGGGCCCTGTTCTGGACTCTGAAGCTTCAGCAGTTAGTAAGCTGGTTTTAAGTTTAACCGAAATGCTTTGCATATACAGCGGTACCTCGGGATACGAACAGCTCAAAACATGAACAATTATGTAAGTGTATTTATGTAAGTGCTTTTGTAAGTGTATTTTTGGGGGTCTGAAACAGATTAATCTAATTTACATTATTCCTTATGGGTATAAATTCGTTCGGTATCAGCACTCGAACGGTCTTCTGGAACGAAATAAGTTCATATCCTGAGGTACCACTGTATAGGGGCTTTTGGCATGTACACTGAAATGTATTCTCCTTTGTACAAACATTGTATCATGCTGGAAACAAACTATTATTATTATTATATTGGATTTGGTAGTAAGTGACAGGGGTACACATGGATATTCTAGTATTGGTGTATCATTATCTTGTAGAGGTGTTTCTTAATGTGCACTGAAACCTGATGGAATCCAAACAGTTGGTAAAGATGGACTTTTGCTACCTTCAGACATACAGGGAATAACTAACAGATCCCTGGCTGTCTTCAAGAAGAAACTGATAAGGTCCTCAGGTCAGAGCCTGATCAGCCAGGCTGTAATTTGCAGGTCCACTCAGTGGGTCCCATTTTCTGATTGTGCTTAGAATTTTTTTTCAGCTATATGTATTGCAGTGCTGGATTTATTGGCATACGTTAAGTTTTGGATAATTATTGATTAAATTTTGTTAAGAGACAGCGGTCTAACCTAACCACACCTAACCTAAATAATGTATCAAAAAATTAGCTTAAGGAAGTATAGTATATGGTATAAGTAACAGATGTTTTCTTCAGGAGGATGGGTTGCCAAGGTACAGTTATGCTGAGATGACATATAAAAAGAGGATTAAGGTAAGATTACCCACAACTGAACATTATGATTGACAACACTATTATTGCTAAACAAAATAAGGGCAAATTCCTGGACCTGCACCTTGACAGCAACCTGAAATTCACCATCATTGTCCAGCGCAACAAAAAAAGTATCCAAAACGGCTGGGATCCTCTCTAAAATACATTCCGTACTACGTACCACAATCAGCCCTATTCACACTATACTATTCACTCATTTAACCCTACCTCACCTATGCTATTTGTGCCTGAGGTTCAGCAGCAGCAACCCACCTAAAGCCAATAATAACCCAACAAAAAACTGCAATAAGAATTATCTCGCAATTCAATCCTAGGCAATACACCCCCTCCCCCACTCTTCAAAGACCTAAACTTACTCACTGTACAGAACATCCACACTTACTACTGTGCAACCTATATTTACAGAACCATAAATTCTAATATTAGCCCTGAACTAAAACACTTTCTTGACAGTTGCAACAGGACCCATAGACATAATACCAGACACAAAATCTCTATGACATTCCTTGTGTCCGGCTAAACCTCTACAAAAATTGGATGTACATAAAAGGGCCTAAAATCTGGAACTCCTTGCCTGAAAACTCTAGAACTGCAGACTCAATCACCATTTTCAAAACTACTGTCAAAAAACATCTTATCTCTCTAACACACCCCATCATTAGCTAACTAAATGAAATGAGAATCACCTTATTTTCTTTTTTGTATCATGAGCGCAACCAAAACAATATAGTCCTACTCTCATTATCTGTAATTCCCCTTAATTTACACTTACACCCACCCAAATGACTGTAAACATAAAATTCCTAATATAGTTATTACCTATTAAATCTTAAGTTAGTCCTAAGTCCACCTAAGACACGCTTCCAATATATAAGCTTTAACAGAAACAGATAAATCCAATCCCATTACTAAATTTACCATTTGTAATATTATTATATGACTCGTACTACCTCAATATTGTAAATCTAATTATGCATGTGCCTGGCTGGGTATGTATCTAATTATGTAAATCTAATTATGTATGTGCCTTGTACTATCTCAATATTGTAAATCTATTTATGTATGTCCCTAGCTAAGTATGTATCTAATTATGTATTTATCTAATAATGCATGTTCAAACTTACTGCTCCAGGACCTATAGAGTAAGAATTAGTATTAGTCTGCCCGAAATGCCTAGGCATGCTCGAAATGCCTAGGCATGCTCGAAATGCCTAGGCATGCTAGTGGCCCTCTTTGTAATTAACATTTCACAACATGTAAACCAAACACTGTAAGCTCTACAAGGAAATAAAAAAATTTAAGTTTGATTTTAATTTTAATTTTTTTAATTTTTAAATTACTCTGTATAACTATGAACTTTTCAAAATATAACATACATAACTTCTAACACAATCTTGTAACATTTATGCACTGTAATCTACTTCAACAAAAAAATTTACTACCAGAATTTATTTAATTACATACTTGCTACTGACTAAAAACTATGCATATGATGCATTGTGAATACATAATAAGGTTGAGCTCAACATTTTAAATGGTTAAAAATGGAAAATAAAACATCATTAAATTATTTGATGAATGTAAAAAACAAAGTTAATAAATATGAAAAAAATTTATGACTATAAATAAAGGTTTAAGGCATTATTTACCAAGACTCAAAATTGAGTTTTTCCCTTACTATCCACAATGCCTCATTGTCAGTGTTCTTCAGCAGAGAGCCATTCACTTCACATATCCTAATACATATATTGATGTAGCCCCTATGAAATATCATACAGTGGATGATTATAGCAGCACTGACATGCCATATGGGTAATTTCCATATGGGATCCAAGAGTAACCACTCACACACAAAGCAATCAAGCTAGCAGAAGGTTCCTGTGAAATTCCTAGTGAAAATAAGAAATTTTGCAGTTTAAAGTGTCTATAGTCATATATAACAATGCTTGTGGTAAAGTAATACTACTAGTACATAATTATAAATATGCAAGAAATAACAACTGAGGAAAAAGATTTGTGTAAGGATATTGCACAGTATATATAAAAAATTTAACTGCATGTCTGGCAAACTGAAAAGTGATAAAATGGTTGCATTATCTCTTGTGAAAACACTGTACATTATCACTGGTGTTCTGGAGTTCCTGCTGAATCTGAGGGCACTGACCTTCCTTATAAGTAATCCACAGAGGCCAATAATGCCCATAATAATCTATGGCTTGTCTGACACACTGTCAGGGGCTCTTGCTGGTGTTGGCTTATTATGTGATGGCTGTCTTTACTTTGCCAACTTATTATACAGCAATTCATGTGCTAGATACTTTTTAATTTACTCTTTATTACTTTTTCCACTAGTGACCAGCAGCTTCTCTGCACTAGGAGTTGCTATTGAGCGTTATCAGGGCATACTAACAGCATCCTCACATTCTGATAGCTTTCTACGCACTTTCTCTCTTATGTGGGTTATGACATCATGGTTTATTGCCTTGGCATTTATGATTGTGTTAAGGGGTCACACAAAGGTATTGTCTGTATATGCTGTACAAGACAATGAATTCTACTGGGAAAAACACATAGAAATTCGAAATAACAGAGGTCTCCTGGAAGATATGTGGGAACACAACAGTCAGCACGATTGGTCAAGTGATTATCGTGAGAATGTTATCATTGGGTTGATTTATGGAATTGTTGGAGGCAATATTTCACATGCTGCACTTGAAAAGTTTCGTGGAATCCCAAAACTTAAACAAAAGCAAACTGAAAACCTACAAATTATTAAAAGGCTACATGTAGCTCTTGGGATAACTGATGATGATCGACAAAGAGTATTTGGAGAATTAAGTAAAGCCCCTGAAAATATCAATCAAGGAAACAATGATACCATTCTTAATGACATACAAAATCCTATTAAAACCAGTAATGAAAAGGATAACTTTAACAAATCAAACATTACAAATTCCAAGACCTTCAAGCCAACATCAATAACAATTATAAAAAATTTGCAAAATAATTCTTTGATGAATGCCACAAGAAAATTCCAAACAAGTGATGTGGAAAAGCAAATGGAGGACCATGAAGCTTTACTGACACAGGTACCAAATAACATCACCACTCAGATAACACAAGCAAATGTTACTTCCATACATCCCCTTGATGTACAAATGGTGACTCCAGTCATAAAAACAGTGAATATGGATGATGAAAATTTGTCAAACAAATCAGAGGTACCTTCAGTGGGTACAAAAAACATTTTTGATATTTTTGATACAAGAGAAGGGCTACACATTACCACAGAACTACAGACACAGAACAGTTTACTTTCAAAATTAAGTGAAACCAAAATATTAACTACAGAATATCCTTACAAAGAGATTGTGAGTGAAAACATAAAGGAAACTACAACTACTGAAGCTACTCTAGCAATTTTTGACCATAATAAAAGCTTAATTAATACTAGCATCAGTACCGAGAGCTATCAAGAAAGCTACAATCGTGCTCCAATAACAGACACATCAACAATGGCACCATTTTCTAAAAAAGACACAACTATGGAATATACATCCCAGGAAGAATTAGAAAATGTATTTTCAAATGCAACTTACACCAATAAAATATTAAGCAACATAAGAGAAAAACAACATGCATCTGAGGCTATGGGGATTACAGAAACTTTTGAAAATAATGAAGCAGAAATCCCAAGCACCACAATAATGACAACATCAAACACTGTGGCCAACTGCAGTGACACATCCTTAAACAACACTACAAATAAACTGCCATTCACCACGGAAGACAGATATTCCAATATTCCACCTGCAACAAACAGCACCTCGACAGCATGTCAGGCACAGGTACAAACTTTTATAAACTTTATTTGGATAAAATTTACATGATAAATTAGAACCAATTTGTTTAAATCAAAGTCAAAATCTAAATTTTATTTCTTTGTAAAGGTTACAATGTGTGTTTACATTTCATAATTTGATTGGTATAAATAAAGCCATTATCATGCCAAGGCATTTCGGGCAGACTTAACCTAATACTTAACCCTTTGAGGGTCGACAGGCCCTCTCCGAAACTCGTTCTCAGGGTCGGCCAAATTTAAAAAAAAAAAAAAATTATTTTCTCTTATGAAAAGATAGAGAATCTTTTCCCGATCATAACGACACCAAAAGTTTGAAATTTGATAGAAAACTTACGGAATTATGCTCTCGCAAAGTTAGCGGTCTCGGCGATGTTTACGGATCGGCGATTTTGCCCACTTTGAGCCCCATTTTCGGCCAATTTCACTGTACTAGTCGACAAAAAACATGAATATTTCGCTAGAACTCCATTTTTTCTATCGAATGGGTGCAAGAAACCACCCATTTATAAATTCAACTATCCAGTACAGTGGTCAGAATTTAGCAATTTTGCCAATTTCACACAAATTTCAAAAGATGCCAATTTCGGAATAGGGTCCAGAATAAACAAGAAAGACATTCCTGGCACTAAAATGACATTTCCTCTAGTCATTAGTCACGTCTCAAGGCCCCTCTTATATTCTTTTGCTTTCCACTTTGAATTTTTATTCTCACAAAAAATATAAGATTTACTGTTATGCAGACTACTGCATTAGTGTAAAAAATGGTATAAATATTATTGGTGCACTTGTGAAAGAATATTAGACTCACCAGTTGACGTGTATTGCACGCTTGGCACGATTTGTTTACTTTTGAAGTTTGGTAAAAATCGAACATTTCTGCTACTTTGAGCTCAATTTCAAGGCACCTTTCATTGTAAAACCAGTCAAAATCATCTCAATTTCAGTAATATGTCTTCCATTCTATAAAATGAGACCAAGAAAACTAGAATACAACAATAAATACTATACGAAAATACACTGCAAAGTCGCTGATTTATTAAAAAAAAATGGAAAAAGTTTTTTTTTTCTCATTATGCACCGTGTGCTGCAGGATTTTTTTTAGACTGTGCACACTGACCACATAGACCCATTCTTTCATATGAAGGCCTACCAGCTTTCTCCCACTAGATTTGAGGTCGCTAGAATTTATGAGTACTAGTACGTCAAAAACCCCTACGCGTAAGACGTACTAGTACGACGAAAACCCTCAAAGGGTTAAAGACTACTTAAGTCTAGACAGGTGAGGAGTAGTAGATTACAAATACAGTGGAACTCCGGTTTTTGTATGTGCCGGATATCGGATGTTTCAGATTTAGAACCCTTTTTTGGGCAAAATTTTGTTCCGGATGTCAGACCTCGATCCAGAAATCGTACATATCACACACGTCCACCCGCCCAGGGACACCGTTAGTTTGCCTTTGTCACTGGTTGAGTGAGCATTTAGCCAAAAGATTTTGCACTTTTTGTGTTTGTTTATTGATTGTGACTGCGAAATAAGCCACCATATCTCTAAAGAAAGTTCCTAGTCCTAGCCCATTGGTAAAGGGCTGAGAGAGAGAGAGGGGAGAATGTGCCTTCTTCAGTGATTCTACGATATGTACGATACTAAAGCAGCAGGAGTCGATAAAGGTACAGCACCAGCCAGCGATAAAGTGTAGCATTAACTGTGTAGCAAGTAAGTTAAGTGATTAAGCGATAGAAAAAAACTACACAAAACTAACTCCTCCAATGTTGGAGGTACATGTATATAGGGCCACTGACAATATACACCGCCTGCATATCTTCCACCACCCTAAACCAATGCCAGCATCTCGTCCAAGTTAAGTGTAAATATTTCTTATTTATAAATTACATACATTGTTTCAGTGTGAATAGTGATGGTGGCCTCTGATGCCACCACCACCACCACCAATATATGTACAGCTTATGCTGTCAGTGGCCCTGATAAACTCAACAACACCACCACCACCAGCACTCCTCACATACATAACGACATATTTTATTCATTCTAGGGTATATATCATGTTTCTATGTTATTAATATTGTTTATTGTGTCATATTAGATGAATTGTGATAAATAAATAAGCAGTAGAGTTGATATTAGCGCATCATATTTAAATACACCTACCATCCGACTTACGACCGAGTTCGGTTCCAAGAAACTGGTCGTAAGTTGAAATGGACGTAAGTCGAACTTTACTACTGAATATCAACATAACATTTCTGTAATGACTTTATTTTATTGTTTTATTTTGGTATTTCATGTTTTACTTTACTTTTTATGCTGTTAGTACTGTATTTTATACTGTAAGGTTTAGCATAAACCCTGTGTACAACACAAACACTTGTTTATTTCCCAGAAATTTGGCATAAAAAACACGGTCGTAAGTTGAGTCGTCGTATGTCGAGCAGGTCGTAAGTCGGATGATAGGTGTATTTTGTCCAGTCTCCAAACAAACTCTCCTCCCAACAAGAGTCTTCAATAAAAGTATGTAACAGTGATTTAAATGTTCATTTATCCATTTCATTAGTGCTTTATATTTATAGCCTCTCCTCACTTAGTGACACACTCGTTTACCGATGCCACGGACATACAACAAGCTCTCTGATCAGCATGCCTGCCTAAATAATGTATATTAGAGCTATTTCCTCTATTCTGCTCAATAAAATATACAGTACACAACTGTATAAACATATAAAAATATACCAGAAATGTTATAAATGGTGCAAAGGTGACATTAAAACAATATCAAAGATAGTTGACACAAATTCACTACCATTACAGTAGGCTCCTCACTTAGCAATGAATTCGTTTACCGACGTGGTCTTAGGAAATGGAACTCAGTCGTTAAGTGAGGAGAGGTTGCATTTCTCATAGTTTTCTGTATGTAAAACTATAGTTATTCTTTAATTTTTTTTTTTTCAACAAGTCGGCTGTCTCCCACCTAGGCAGGGTGACCCAAAGAGAAAGAAAATCCCCAAAAAGAAAATACTTTCATCATCATTCAACACTTTCACCTCACTTACACATAATCACTGTTTTTGCAGAGGTGCTCAGAACACAACAGTTTAGAAGCATATACGTATAAAGATACACAACATATCCCTCCAAACTGCTAATATCCCGAACCCCTCCTTTAGAGTGCAGGCATTGTACTTCCCATTTCCAGGACTCAAAATATATTTTTTGTTAATATTTTTGAATGTCTGGAACGGATTAACTGTATTTACATTATTTCTTATGGGAACTATTGCTTCAGTTTTCGTACGTTTCAGATATAGAATGACCCTCTGGAATGGATTAAGTACAAAAAACCTTTGTATTCAATATTTTACTCTATTATTAATATGAGGTAGTACAATTTATGATACAAACATACATTTTTAAGATTGTAATAATGGCTTAATAGTTAAGGAATAATAAAATATTTGGGAGATTTGTTTTAAATTTGGTTAGAGTTTAGCATAGCGTGGGTATGGTTGCTATTGAGATGAAATGATTTTTGAGTATACGAAGTCCTAAACTGATTTGTGGGCAGGGGACCTCCTGCTGTTTCAGGCAAAGAGTTTCAGATCTTTGGGCCTTTTATATGCACTGCATTTTTGCATAATGTGAGACAGACATGAGGGATGTCGTTAGTGTTTTCTGCCTCGTGTTATGCGTGTGTGTTCTGCTGAAGCTGTCTAGGTGAAGTCTGAGTGGAGGATTGACATTGAAGTTTAATGTTCTGTACATATAGTAGGCATAATAATAAGTGTGTATAATTTGCATATCAAGTAAGTTCAAGCTTTTCAAGAGTGGTGGAGTGTGTTGTCTGGCACAGGAGTTTGTGATCATCTGCATCACAGCTTTTTGTTGGATTATTAAAGGTTTAAGGTGACTGGTCGTGATAGGTCCCCAAGAACAAATACCATAGGTGAGGTAAGGGTATATTAGAGAGTCATAAAAAGTAAGGAGAGTCCTTTGGGGTACATAGTGTTGTATCTTGGAAAGGATGCCTACTGTTTTGGAAACTTTCTTAGTTATATGCTGGATGAGGGTCTGAAATTTAAGATTACAGTCAATGTGGAGACCTAGAAATTTGCCTCAGTGTGTCTTGTAATAACAAATGAGTAAGAATAGAAAGATAGGGATTAGCATCAGAATCAACAATTAATTACATTTTGAAAAGAGTAATACTTATCATAAATTTTAATCATTATAAAAAGATTCAAAGATTTCTTCAATGGTTATAAAAAAATTACTTTAAAGGCAAATATGGAACATTAGTGCAAACACAGGCCAAAAATGTTACAAGTAAACACAAAGTTAAAATGACTTTCAAAATAAACATGGTGCTTGGAGAACACCAATTTTCCGGCAACAAATGATCCTGTTCCAATTTTAGTCTGGAGAAAACATTATGAGGAAGGCCATATATAGCCAAGAGCAGAGTGTGCTCACTTATATTGTAAATTTTACACTGTGGTTAATGGTGGTGCTCCCATGATTTTATGCAATTCTAATCATATTTTCTAACATTTAACTCTAGATATGGCTAAAGTTAATACAATAGCTATATTAACTTGACATAAGCTGCGGCTAGAAGAGATCGTAAGTTTTTTTCTTTTTCGGGTCACCCTGCCTTGGTGGGAGACGGCCATTGTGTTAAAAAAAAAAAAAACTATGGCTACCAAGTTAATAATATTGTCAGGTGAATTAATCAAAGGGCTAAAACAACATTCCTTCATGACATAACAAGACCTAATGAATTTTTATTTGATGAATAAAAAATTACAGGGGTAAAAGATCTAAGCACATGAACCAATTTCACTTGGATGATATGTTCAACAATATCACCAAGAAGAGTGTGTCATAGCAGTAGACATACATACAGTGGTACCTCGGTATACGTCCTTAATCCGTTCCAGGACCTTGGACTTATACCAAACAGGACATATACCAAACGAATTTTCCCATAAGAAATACAGTGGACCCCCGCATAA